GAATAAAAATTTGGAAGTGCATCTCTCTAGAGTTTCTGACAAGAGTGTATGGGGGGAAAGTCCATATAATCAAATGAAAATATTAGAATAAAACTTTAATTACATGATGGGAAACAGAAATGACTGGTCAGTTTGTGTGTTTCAGAGAGAGCTCAAAAGAGAAGAAACTCAGTTTCCATCTACCCTTATGGACAACGCAAATTAACACCTTTCCCTGAGACATTTTTTTTATCCTACAAAATAGTGTATCAGTTGAAATAGGTCACAGACTTCATTATCTGACTATAAGAAACTAGGGTGGAAATGGACTGAAAAAGACTACTAATCTGCTCGGAATCCATCGAAATTTAACCTTGCTACTCCTTTTCACTTCTCTCTGTTGGGTATTCCTGGAATTTGCACAAGTGGCAAGCTGGAGTGGTCAAGTTCCACTGGTTCTGTTACAGCAGATTTTACCCATCGATTCTTCTCATCCCCGTCCAGTTAACATGTCCTCACTGATCATAATACACAAGACAAAGACAGAAATGTACACGAGTAAAGATGTGAAAGGCCCTTAGGAAGCTCAGACTCTAGAGCAGCCAGGGTGAATCCTCTCCCCCTCCAAAGTTCACTGATGTTCTAATAGACTCCATATCTGGTTCCATGCTTTGTCTTCAACAACTAGATATTACCAGTGACTCTGAGCCTTAACTTTCCATTTCTAGCTCTCCTTAGGAAGTGAATGCTGCTGACTGGCCCACTGTAGCATGGTCTGAATCTGTCTGGGGACAGCTCCAGAATTCCTACAGTAAGTGGGCTTTGAAACAGCCTGGCTTAAAGGGAGACCAGGCACTTGCCTTAAAGCTTCATTCACAAGGTAAGTACACTACTTACATTTACATCAAATGTTTGCTTGGATGGCCTTGGGGTAAACTGGCAGGCTTATGAAGGGGCTACATAATATGCTCTCCAACCCCAGCCCTGTCACCTGCCAAGCCATCCCTTGATAACACCCATGAGTCTGCACATGGCTGAATCAAGGCCAGGGCTAATGGAAGCTCCAGTCTAGTGTCCCAGGGAACAATGAAGACAGGGGACTTGGTGATGAGTAATTAGAGGGGCTGATTAACATCCTTGGGAAGGAGTGGGACAGGCTGTATTGGGTGTACTGCCTCCCAGAATGACACTCAGTCTGGCTCAGCCTGAGATGTAAGAATGATTCACATCTGAGGTGGGGAAACAATGAGAAAGGCAGTGTCAGGGGTCATGGGCAAGGAAGGAGTTCAAGACAAGAGGCGGCCAGACAGGAAGCTAGAGGTCAGATACTTAGAGGCCAGGCAAGGAAGAGAAGAGGGGAGTGGAATACAGAGGGGGACATAGGCCTGGGGGATGATGAAGTTGATGAAGAACAGGTGTACAACCCAGGAGATCATCTGGGTTGACTATCTCAATGGGTTCTACTCTTCTGACTTGCCAGTTCAGGCAGGGAGCAACAAACATCTTTCAGACTGAATTAAATAATTATCTTAATTGTTTAAAGCAATGTTGAGCCAGGTCAGGGCTCTGAAGAGTGAAACGTAGGGGACCCAAGTTGTCAAGAAGGCTCAGGGGCCTGAGGATGGTATGGGTGTGCTCAATTCAACACCCAATATTGCCATCACCACTTTCCTCCTGACCTATGTGGGGGGTAGCGGGGAGTGGCTATCTCTTTGTCCACCAAGAATGGAGATGAGCAGACAACATGGGAAGTCAATCCTAAGACAGAATTAAAGCTTCTGTAGAACTCTGCCCTGTGCCTTTGATCATGCAGTATTAGGTAGTCTCAGTCCTGAAGTTTATCAGCCTCTTGTATTCCCCACAGAGAAGTTTCTCAACCTTTGGTACCATTTCCTCCTTGACGTCGAGTATGACATCAGCTGTTTGGAGGGAGGGATGTGGAGAGGCTGCAGGAATGCCCACTTAACACTCAGGACACCCACGTGGAAATCCTATCAGCCACAAACAGCCAGTGCCAAGAGAGCCTGCGTGGGATGGCCCCCACCTGGGTTCCCTGACTTTTTAATCCCAGCATTTACATGGCCTTTCACAGGGCACAACCTCTTCCACCTACATAATAACTTAATGGGATCCATCAACAACCCATGCAGATAAGTAAAAAAGGAATTACTATCTCCACTGTGTAAACTAGAAAACTGATTCACAGATGACAAGTAATATACAGAGTAATTTTGTATACAGTAATATACAAAAAAAGTCTACATACTTTAAATTTGTAATACTGTAAACTGCTGACAAAGGATCAAAGGATGAATACAAGTCATACTGAGTGTGTCTTGTAATTGCAGAAGTCAAACGCGACTAGAGTATTACAAATTTAACACCATTTCTTTTCTTTTTTTTTGAAGTGTGTATACATTTTTGGGCACCCTCTGTATTCAAGGTCTCAAGAACTCACAAAAGTGCAAGCCTAAGCCCTGTGTTACAAGTGCCTCTAGCCCATCATTTGCGTTTGTAAAAGCACAAACTTTCAGTGCAGGCAGCCCCTACCCTCTCCCCGACCTGTCGCATCCAGGGCAGGACTAAGTTCCAGGAGACTCCTCCAGGTACATACAGAATCCAGAACGAAGGACAAAGGATGGCCAAGGCTATAAAGGAGGAGGCTGGGCACCGGCAGGAGGAACAATGAAGGGAGGGTGAAAGGCTCATGACCAGGAAAGGAAAAAGCAAGTAAAAAAAGAAAATGCGCATTACATCTCAAAGGCACCCAAGGCTTGGAAAACTGTCTTTGTATTCTCCCCAAAACAATATGCATTTGCACTCATATACAAATCACAGTAGTTCAGTGTTCACATGGAGGAAGAGAAGGCAACTAGCATTTAAGAAGTAAGTACTTCCTGTATATCAGAAACCCTGCTAAGTGCTTTCTCTTCTAATCTTGGGAGGTGGATATTAACTTCATTTTTGTTTTTACAGATGAGGAAAGCCTAGACTACAACAAGAGCTGGTCTGACTGTAAAGCCCAGCTCTTCCCTTGATGCCGCATTAATAATGCCTTGGGCCTGGTCTCTGTCATTTAGAAGGTTGCAATCAGACTTAACCACTCTGTTGGGTATAATCACAGACCAGAAAGCATTTGAACTAATATGTACTGTAAGGAGAATGGCTAATGGGTAATTTGAGTTATCGGAATTCCCATTTGAGTTTTAGTGATTCCCTTTGCCCCAGCCCAAAGAAATAAGAGGTTGGGCCTAAGTTACAGTGAACTGGGCTCCTCGAAGAAAGCTGGGAATGTGGAGGAGACACAGGCAGCCTTGGGCGTGTACGGACAGCTGACTCTGGGTACTGTGCCTCAGTTGCCTGGCTGAAATGCCCTGTGTCCCTTGGTTCCTCTGTGCTCGTATGTGTGTTTTTGAAGAGAGAGTTAACATGTTATAATATCTCAAATAAGTTCTGATGAACATACAGAAGAAAACAATTACATATTTTAATCTTTTCATTTCTGTCTTCATTTACAGAAAACATATACAGACTTGTTCCATCAAACATCTTATCAAACAGCCAGCTACCTAAACCAGATATGATCAGATATAGACAGTCTGGCAGTGGATGTATGTATTGGCCAGATTTAGAGCAGTGGAGTGTCATCTGCAGTTAAATCAAAGCTACAAAGCTTTGAATTCTAAAGACAAATAAATAAACAAGAAAAATTTGCCAAAATGATATTTCCTAGTTACATGGTAGTGACAGTCACTGTGTTGTCCAGATGGTTAGATGTCCAGGTTTCTATATGATAACAGGTTCATACAGTCTCAAGTCCTGAAATTTATCTTAAATACACATCGCAGGGTTTGCTTACTGGTCTTTTAGAATGGTCTAGTATGTTTAGACAAGCACGGCATTAAAAGAACCAAGACTGTATATTCCTGACTGTACCACTTCTGGCCAAAAAGAGGAAAATTCCACTCCCTTCACTCAGATGAGCGCACACAATTGGACCAAATGTCTCATAGGAAGCCGGGTTAGCAACTATGGATAGGCCAGTGGAAATAGAGCTCTCAAGAGCTCTCCTTAGCAATACAAAAATCCATGCATTAATGCAATTCTGTACAGTGCCTGGAATGATCAGCTACTTGTAAAGGAAGGATCGTCTGTTTGTCACTGACGTTTACTTAATTCTCCGAGTTATGAGAAGCAACTAGGAACTGTGAGAAGTTGAGCGGCCCTTTACATCTAACGTGACATGCCAAGACCCGGAGGCAGAAGAGTGTTGAAACCACAATAACAAATTACGAAGGACACATTTCCTGGGCCTGCAAAAGATTTCAAGTGTTCTAACAATTACCTTAATAAGACTAAAATGTTTCCAATATTCACAGTCACTCCTCAAATTACATACTTGAGAAATTTCTAAGCGATTTGGGGAGTTGCAACTTGCTACTTGAAGCAAGAAAGTATCACCTCTACAGAACACAGCACTTTTGTCCAGTGGTGGTGAGGGAGGCCACGGGACCTTTCCAGCACCCAGCGCAACGCGGACTGTGTTACTAGTTCGCTAATAACTTTCCCCCACCATTGCACGGGGTGGAATTGGAGGTTGGGAGTGTTGTTCCCCTTGCTGCACGGGAGAACTTGGTTGTCTCCTCCGCACCGACGGCAGGAAGACCGGGTTTGCAAACAGCACCTGTGCGAGCTCCGGCAGCCGGTGCCGCGCTCCCGCGCCCCTGCGCTCGGCCCCCCAGCCTTCCGCACAGGCGGACGCAAGGCCGGTTTTGCATCCGGATGGCTTTTTGCAATCTGGATTGCTTTTTGGGAAACGGTGGGGAAAGGGCTAGATGCGCCACACGCCCGCCCTAGAGTCCAGTCCCTAGGGTGTGAAGTCGGTGCGGGACCCAGACTGCAACCAGGCAACCCGGCGAAGCCGCGGCGGGCCCGGCGGCGCCCCCGCGCCCCGGCCCCCCCGCGCGCCCCCCAGCCGGTCACGGCTCGCGGAACCCTCCCGTGCCCGGCGCCCCACTCACCGCTCACGCTCGCCCGCGCCGCCGAGCCCGGGAGCCGGGGCCCCCGCGGCTGCCGCATGCCCTCGGGGCCGAGCGCGACGGGGCGGCCGGGCGCCGGGCTCCGGCCGGGCGCCGACGAGCAGCGAAGTACGCGGCGGGCGGCCGGGCGGCAGGGCGCCTCCTCTCCAGCGGCCGCGGCGACGCGCCCCGAGCCCGAGGAAAGTTTGGCCGGGCGAGGGAGGGGACCCAGGGCCCGCGTCCCCGCCCTGCCCCGCCCTGCCCGGCGCGGCCGCAGTTCCCACGGGAGAGCGCCCCGCACCGGCCGGGCCGGGATGTGCGCGCGGGGCCCGCCGGAGCCCGGGGCCGGCTCTGCCCGAGACGCGCTCCTGCTGGCCTTTGGCCTTGTCCCGGGAGAGTGGCCCGCCCCGAGGGGAGAGGGCACCCACTAAAGGACCTCTTGCACCCACAGTCCCGACGGAGCCGTACCTCGGAGCTCCGTGCGAAGGTGCAGTCGCTCTGTCCCTCTGTCCCTCTGGCCTCGGAGGTTTGTTTGAAGTGGCTGCGGGAAGTGCAGCCCGCAACCGCAGCCAGCCCAGGCCAGGCTCATGCCAGGCCCAGACCCAGCTCCAAAAGAGGAACCGAGCTACTGGAGGGGGTAGGCAGCTCCCGGAGGCCGGGGGGCCCGCGGTGTCTCTAGGCACCTTTTTATTGCAGCGGGGGCAAAAAAAAAAAAAAAAATCTTGAAGGTTCATGTAAGAGGCTCCTTGGCCGCCCAGGGTAAATAGTCCGAGATAATTTGCTTTTCAAAGCTGAAATATAAAGCCTCCACTGACCCACCTTCGGTAAAGAAGAAAGATGCAAAGTAAAACAGAGGCCAGGATGGTGTTGTTCTGTCTGAATACTGCGAAGCAATACTAACAAGGTCACAGAAGTGCTCAAAGTTGGTCTTTCCCAGTGATCTCATAAGAGGGAGATACTGGGAAGTGACAAGTCCTCACTCAGGCTCCAAAAAGCCCTTGGAAAACACTGAGCGTGGTGTGCCCAGAGGTCTTCCAGGGGCCTGTGTGGTTCACTCATTCCCTCATCCTTGGTGCATTCAGCAAGAATATCGGGCCCTTCTGTGTGTCAGCTAGCAAGGACAGCCTAGGAAACAACCTGTCCGTCTGCCCCCACCCTACCATCAAAAAGACTGCTCTCTCTTAAGACAGTGTCTTCATAACGTTATAGTCCTTACAGGACGAATCTCAGCCCACAGAGCTTGACAACCTTCTGTCTGTAAACCTTCACAGGGATGTGGCTAAATTATGATTAGCATGTGCAAATTATTGTCGCTCCATCTGAGTATTCAGAACATTACTATATTGTCTTGTGGGTGAACTGCGTAGACAGAGGTACAACTTGCAAAGCCAGTGCTAAAGGCAGATCATATGTTTACCAGAAGCAGCAGAAACCTCGCCTATGATAAAGAGACTGAGTCAGGGGAATGAACAGCACAAATCAAATATCAGAGTGCAGAAAGGGCAACCTGGTGAGCAGAAAAATTCTCAACCAGCACTCTGAGCACTTGACCCAATGTGCGTAGTGAGTTGAGCAAGCAAGTTATTGTGTAGGCTGGACTGGGAACTGTAAACACCATTTAGAGCCTTCTTTTCCTGGGGAAATCTGTGCTGAGTTCCATGTTTAACCAAAGCACTTTGGAAATACATTTTGTTGTAACTGGGAAACTTCCTGAACTTGAGCATTGTGAGAGAGAACAGGGATTCTGTGGAGACGCAAACAGGGATTCTGTAACATGCAACCCCTTTAAAATAGAGGGAAGAGAAGGGGGCACAAAGAACTGTGTTGCAAAAGGAAAAATGCATTCTACCTAGATTTTAAAATGTGGGTCAGATGAAGGGGGGAGGCAAGAAAGTGATATTGAAACACAGATTGCGGGTGGTGGTGAGGTAAGGAACAGCAATCAAATCCAAGGGCAGGAGCAGGGAAGAAGGGATGAGAGGCCAAAGACAGTTAAAAGGAAAGATGTGACCCCCCAATCCTGGTATTCAGAAGGTAGCTCAGAATTATCCACCAGAACCTCCTATAAGTTCTTGTGCAGTCTGTGGTCTCTCACTCCTCTCTCAAAAATAGTTTTTATCAGTGAAACCAAATTAAAATTAACATCACAGGCTCAGCGCCTGTGGCTCAAGTGGCTAAGCCACATACACCTAAGGTGGCGAGTTCGAATCCAGCCCGGGCCCGCCAAACAACAATGACAGCTACAACCAAAAAATGGCAGGGCGTTGTGGCGGGCGCCTGTGGTCCCAGCTACTTGGGAGGCTGAGGCAGGAGACTCGCTTGAGCCCAGGAGCTGGAGGTTGCTGTGAGCTGTGAGGCCACAGCACTCTACCCAGGGGGATAGCTTGAGGCTCTGTCTCAAAAAAAAAAAAAAAAATTAACATCACAAATGGCAAGCAGGAAGTCTAAGGGTACACTTGGCTTTTGTGATCCCTAGCTGAAAATTCATTCAAATCTTTTTCAACAAACATGTACTGAGTAGGTTTTCTGTATACAACTGTTGTGTTTTGTGTTCCTGGGGATACAGCAAGTTATTATATTGTTTCTGGGGGGGTGGGAGGGATGGATATTTCACAGTGTTTGATGAATGGAAATTAGGTCTGAAGGGAATAACTGTGGCCTTGGAGAACCTGTGTCAGCCAGCGTCGTGGGGCAGGGCATGAATACTGCAAGATAAATAAATAATAAATAAACAAATAAAGTTAGCACTGCCACAGTGAGAAGAAGGTGGGACTCACACGATTTCTTTCTGTCTGGGTTTATGGAAGGAGGCCATGTTCCTCAGTCCTCAGCTCAGCCTGGACCTTTGTGTGGGCAGGAAATCACCGATTTGCTTTGCTTTCCTTAACTTTGGGAAGTATCTGAACTGAATCCCTGTTGAATTTTGCTGTACCATAATCTGTACCATTATCATCCCATTATCATCAGTGATGAGAATACCAGAAGCAGGTGAATTTCATGGGAAAGTGTATCGGAAGCTGTAAAAGTGATGGATGTAAGTGTCCCTGAAATCACAGCTAGCTAGAAGGGTCTAAGAAATGACTGTGCAAACAGCTAACTCCATAGACACCACAGAAATGGAGAGACAGCAAAGCAAGGCAGGTGGCCCTATGGAGTATCTCTCAACAGTACATAAATAACTTCAAGTCAAAGTCATGGGAATAGTTCATAAATACCAAATCAGAATTTACTTAAGTTCATTTAGATTGAGCAAACCATATCTCATATGAACTGTTAAATAATTTTTCATATGAAGAAGAATACTTCTTAGATAGTTATCCTATCACTACTTACTTCTACATATTTTTACGGTTCAGCAAAGGACGATCAGTTTTGAAAATAAAAGTTGTAAAGAAAATCTTCTAACAGGTATGAAAATACATAATAAAACAAGAATAACTAAGGTGGCCCATGTGCTGGTTTGTCTGGGACGATCTCAGTTTCTGTCATCTAGGCATACTTTACTTGCAAAAATATCTAGTTGAATTGCTGAATTATATGGTTACCTTAATTAATAATTAAAACAATATGACACTAAAGAGAGACTAGAGAGATGAAACATTAGACCAGAATTTCTATCCCAAGAACCTAGTGAATATAAAAGTGTTTGTGTTTGAAGAAGCTGGCGTCTTAAATCAGTTGGAAAGAAAATACTTCGTGAATGGCAGTGGTAGAATTATGGACTTTGGGGGGAAAAAATAAGGTTAGATGTTTACCAGAGTAATTTCCATAGTCATTATAGAGTCAGTTTGTGATAAAGGAGAGAAAGTGAATCACGATATAATTAGAGGAGAATAAAGATTAATATTTATTAATATATTAATATTTACATTTATTTGATTTCAAAATTTTTAATTAGCTTGATGACATGCAAATAGATATTTCCACAGATAATAAAAGAAATCCTATAAATTTAAATAAAAATCAAACTAAAAACTAGGCGAGATATGACAACACCCTTTCTACATCACTTACTGAGAACATGGAGAGAACTATTAATAGTTAAAAGAGAAATGTCAAAGCAGAAAAACAAGCCAAGAATATGAACAACTGGCTGAGGTAGGAACACAAGTGACTCAAAATTTATGAAAATAAATCTTAAATGGTCTAAGGATAAAACAAGCCTAAATTAAAAAAGAGATACCACTTGGCACTTATCACATTGGCAAAAGGCCTTTGATTATAAAGATTCCCAATACTGCCTAAAGTTTCAGGGAAGTGGGTTCGAGTGGGAGTAAAAACTGATAAAAGTTGTCTGGTGAGCAATTTTCAGTGTAACACCATTTATTCATTCTCAGAAGTACTTCTGTAATATCGCTAAATTAAGATGTGTTTTATGGCCATTGTTAGCCAGGCAACAGTTGAGGCTTACTTGTCATTGCCAGACCAAAGGCACCAAATTGTAAAGAATAGATGTCAGTGATTAGAGGAAAATCCTGGAGCAAAGATCAAAGCATAGATATATCTTTTTAAATGCAGCATCACAGTGCTTTTTATGGCGCTCAGATCACATACCATGTGGTGTTGTAAAGTGACTCAGAAGAATGAGGAAGTTAAGGGTGAGTCCTCTGCCCAGCGTTTCTGCTTTTCCTTTATGGATATACAAACAAAATACAAACTACTAATTTTATCTTTAAATATCAATAAGCCCAGAAAATTCTCTCAATAGTCATGAAAGAAAAGGTATATGTAGTAAGAAAATACAGCTTTTAAGTGGCATCATTTTCTTTCTTCTTGTTGAATAATAATGGTGCATCTTACAATTTATAAGTTCTTAGGTATGATGTACTGTGATATATCAAGAATCCTAACATGTTCATACTATTTAACCCAGTAATTTCATATCCAGAAAGGTATCCTGAAGACACCACTGGAGGCACTTACATATTTTAATCCAAATATAAACATTTTAGTATTATTTGTACAACTGAAATACAATTCAATTATACAATGAATTATATACAATGTTAAAAAGAACCTAAAAAGTCTAACCTAAAAGTCCAATAGAAACTTGATCAAATAAATTACCGTACATCCACAGGATTGAGTATTATGCAACTGTAATAAACATGTTTCAAAGAATATATAATGGCATAGGAACAAATTCATCATTTCAAATTATGCTTTTTATAAAAACCTGAATGCAACACTATATAACCAAATCTGTTT